ATAATTAAATAAAGATAGTACCTTTTAAAGGTTTTCTTTCTAAAAAACACAAAGACATATATTCTTCTTAAATATTTCAATTCAAGTATTTATTTTATTATTATTATTAAATTAAACTCTATTATTTTCTTTTACATTATAAAACATTTTCTTTTCCAAATTAATATTAACTAAAATTATTTTCTAAACAATTAAATTAGACTTAGGGTTTATTTTAATTAACTTAGATTTTAGGTTTTGTTAAATAATTAATTAACTTCTCTTGTAAATTAATTAGTTTAATTTACTTTAATTAAAACCTTTTCATATAAAAAACCATAAAAAATAATTTTCTTTTCTTTTACATTATTTTTATCTTCTTGTGCATTCTATTATTCAATATGGTTGCAATAGTAATTAGGTTTTAATAACTTTCTTCCCCCATTTGTAAATTATACCCCATCCCCAAATGATGTAATAGTGTAGAATTTTATAATTTCTGCAATTTATCGCTTTCAATATAAAATGCTAGTAATTAGGATTTGTATGTGTCATACCCCAATTTTTGACCTAAGATCCCATTTTTATTGTTTGCATTTTTATACAAAAGTCAAGGTCACGAAGTACAGTCGATTTTAACTTCTCACCTTCGAGCATTGACTATGCATAAATTGTCAAGTATTTTGAACATTCTTAGCCTATGTATCACTAACTTCTAATCAAGCAAAAAGTGTGTGTTTTTTGTTTCTTTGATTTCATTTGCAGGAAACAGATCTGAATCAAGAGCATTGGGCGTCACGCCTCGATTAGGGTTCAGAATCTCTTAAGCCAGAAGCACAATTGATCGTTGATTCTTGAAGACTGATTCATCAGAGGAATCGTGTGTTTATTTCCACGCCTTGTTCGACAAGTGGTCTCAAGCTTTTCCACAACTTTCTCAGAGCATAAACAAGATTTCATCATCACGGGTTTACATGTGCATCAAGTTGCTTTGGAATGCGAAGAAAGATCAAGTTTGCTTCCATCCAATTCCAAGCCTTGAACTGCAATTTTTCAAGAAAGTCATCCGCAAGGCAAAATGGTCAAAAGCACATTGAAAAGTCAAACTTTGAATTTTAGATCAAATCAAGTTTCAACAATTTTATTTCATCAAGACATGAGATTGATTCATCAAAAAATCAGGAGTCAGAAGTTACTTTGGAAAAATCAAATTTTCTAAACATTTAGAAAATTTTCTAAGTGTTAAGAGTATGTGATACTTCAGAACTTCTGAGCCAGCTTCCATGCAAGTGCAGTCAGAAGTTACAAATTTGGTTCAGAACATAGCCTTCAATCAGAACTTCTGAGCCAGCCTCCATGCAAGTGCAGTCAGAAGTTACAAACATGGTTCAGAACACAATCTTCCATCATAACGTGACTCTTCAACACATAGAGGTTACGCTTCCGATCTTCTGTGATCAGAACATCACCAAATCCCAAAACTTCGTTTAAGTAACCTACTTCCATGCTACATTATAGTGCTGCAGTCAGCTGCTGACCCAGTCCACACCTACATTTTCTCAAACCCCATATTTGCATTAAATTAGCATACGAAAACTATGATTAAAAAGCATTGGAACAGTATACCAAAAAAGTTTGAATCCCATTTGTTTTTGCCCCCAAAACCACAACAAACCCATCTATAAATACTTTGCTCTATCACACATTCAAAGGGATGGCTTTTGGAAGGGATATTGGTAAAAAAAGGGAGAGAAAAGTAAGTTGAAACCTTCATAAAAAATCCAGAAATCCCAAACAGAAAACCAAACATTTGTTCTTCCTTTTGAATCAAAGAGCTTGGCACTTCCTCTTCTGTTACTCTTGCTGATTCCAGAACATCCAAAGGTAGCAGCTCCAAGCTCCAAGTCCACATTCCAGGTTCAAGGTAAGTCTTTCTGACTTTGCATCTTTTTCATTCAGAACATCATTAAACATGTAAATATCATAGCATTGATGTTGTTCATATCATTGCATAAGTAGAAAAAAAACTGTGGATCAGAGTTTCTTGATTAGGGCTAGACTCAGATTTAGGATTAGAACTTCTATAAGCTTTTGTGTTGTTATCCTTCTGATTTGCTGTTTAATAAGAACTGAATGAATTGCTGGTGTGCTGATTAAAAGTCAAAATGTAACACAAAACTTCTGTTTTTCACTCATCATTTTAACACACAGAACTTCTAAGATTTTCTCACTGTTTAAGCACGCAGAACTTCTAAGTTCTCTTCACTGTTTTAACACACAGAACTTCTATGATTTTTTCACTGTTAACACGCACTGAACTTCTGATTTTTACATGCTGATAATGCACTGAACTGCTGATGTTCACTCACTGGCTCAACACAATACATAACTTCTGATGATTCACTCACTGTTCTAACACAGCACAGAACTTCTGAGTTCTCCTTACATGTCAAATACACAGAACTTCTGATGTTTCCATTCGCTGTTTTCAAACTCAGAGTTTCTGATTTTCACATGCTGACAATGCACTGAACTTCTGAAGTTTACTTACTGTTTTAGTGTAATACATAACTTCTGACTTGTGGCCCACTATCTAAATACCACCCAAAATTTCTGTGTTTTCCCTCTAACATTTCTTGCAGGACCTCAGAGTGTACGAATCCAGAACTTCTGATTCCATTGACGTTCCTTTCTGAATCATCACGCGCCTGGCTTCAGAACTTCTGATCCTTGTTTCCTTGCTTGCAGTAACACGCTGTTTCTATCTTTCATTTATTTTCCTTTTCATCATTTTTAATATTAACATAAAAAACATGTTATTATAAACTAATCTTTATTTAATTTTTGTTAACATGCTATTAATCTTCTACTTAATTTTTGTTATTTTATTTAGTTATTCAAAATACATGTTTCATAATTTATTATTTCTTTAATTTTTGCTATTTATTTAATTTATTTAAAATGCATGCTAGTGTAATTTAATTTTCATTATTTAATTGCTCAATTGTCATTTTAATTAATTTTATCATCGATCGTTTAATCTTTATATCTTTCGTCTGTCTCAATTCCAAGGGAAATGTTTTAACTTTGTTGACTTCACGTCATCAAACACATGTCATCCAATCGTGTGAATACCCTCATTCATATTTTGTTTGTTATTTTGCTAAACCTAAGATAATTTTCCTAAAAGACTTCACTTTTAAACTCACACCTTTTAAGTCAAAACTTCGACATTAGGCCTTCGTATTTTCAAAATCTCGTCCACGCCCATTTTAGCCAAACAAACCATTTTAATCAAACAAACAATTTTAATAAATAGATATTTCAAAAGGTTCCTATAGGATACTATAGATACATTGGGTGCTAATACCTTCCCATTGCATAACCAACCCCCGAACTCTAGATCTCTTTTCAAAACGCATTGTATTTTCATTACTTTTAAGTATTATTTTACATTGCATATTTTAGGGTTTTATTTCGCTCTTTTCCCTTTTCCCTTGGAAATAATAAAACACGGTGGCGACTCTTGCTATTTGCGAGTCAAGTTAATTAATAGCTTGATCTCCGATTTTCATCGCTACAGTATGGTAAGACATAAAATCAACTAATAGAAAACTCTAATTCAAGACAAAAATGCATGGAAAACAAACACTTTGCACACTTGCACCTCTAGAATTAACCCACACTTGTTGTCTCAGATAAAACAGTCATGTCCCTCGAACGTGAGATGCTTTAGCAAAAGACCCTCGATTAAAAGATTGTAGTCCCTCGATGATCCTTCAATATTGCCTCCTGTAAATAATCTTAGACCCTTACGATAAACTGCTAAAACATCTTACAAGTTGCATTCTATGACTGTACAATGACCCACATCTGTCTCTCACATCCAATGATAAGGTTTCTTAATTTAAATCACAGGGAAGAGTCCCGTCACTTAATTTTTTTTTGAATTATAGTTCCTCTTAATCTTAATCAAACACCCAAATTATAGACAAATAATCTTAATCTTTAGCTTGCACCCATCAACGTTTCTCTTCCTAGAGCTCCAAGAAAACTTCACTGACCTGAAACTAAACAATTACCAAAAGAAAAGTGCATGTACTGATCACATTTTAATCCGAAGTGATTTACATAGACATAACCATCATGACATCAATTACAATTCATATTTTGAGATACATGATGTTTAAAGAGGATGCATAAGTTATCCTTATATTCATGTCTGCAGAAAATGCTATAATTTCAATACATGCTAAATATATATGACTTTTTTTTAAGTTCCAACTAATTTGATGTTCAAATATACATGTTTGAAGAGAGGGAAGAAATCCGTTAAGGTTTGAAGAGAGGGAAGAAAATGAAATTTTATTTTTCTGAGATGGAAGAGAGAGGAAATAAATGAGGCCAGACAAATTTTTTGAGAAAGAAGGGAAATAGAAAGAGGAAGACGATAAAAGAGAGAGAAAATGAGGGGAAAAAACAATAAAGTTCTGCCACTTGACGATATCTGTGATTTTGATTGGGCAATGCAAATTAATTTAGTCAATTACCTATAAGAATTCTATAAATGTAAATTAAAATTGTGTTAAAAGTAATTTTAAATGATTATAGGTATTTCATATTCTTAATTAGGTAGTTGATTGTAAATTAAAAAATATAAATGTAAATTTTAATAAATATGAAAGATATGAGTGCAACAATTTTTAGATGGAGACCCTAAAAGAAAGATGAAGAAGAAATGAGTGGTGTTGAAGCAAATTCCCAGTCAAACTTGTACAACACACAATGTGGTGTTATTTTGGATTATTTATATATTTTTTGCTCTTAAAGTGTGAGTGGTTAGATTAATCAAGCGGTTGAAATTTGGAGAAAGAGAAAAAAGTAAAAAAAAAATTTAAAGGAGAGGATCCCACTTGTGTTTATCTCTATATGTTATTGTTACTCCTACTTTATATTTTTTTATTCATTTTAAACACATTTAAAAAGTATAAAAAAAAATACTTGGCAACAAATTTTGATGTCCAAATATAAATTTTATCTTATTTTATTTACATCAAAAGAAATTAAGTCCCCCACTTCTCCTGCTTTCTATTTCCAACACCTCCCCCTACCTTGGATGCACACCTGCTTCCCTCTGCAACTCTCTCCTTCCCCATCTCCATGTCCATGGCAATTCCAAGGTACCATCTTTCTTCCTCTTCATCATCTCTAATCTCACCCTCTCTTCCATGCTCTCACTCAACCATTCCCACACTAACCCTCTTTTTCTCCACTCTCCCACTCTCAACACCAGCTCGTTTACTCAATATCATGCTGTAAAGTTACAATTTTTTTCTTGTAAACTTGTTTTTATTCGCTAAATCTGGATACCCTTTTGACCCTTTTGTTTGATTGTCACATCGGTAGCACCCAAAACCCCAATATTCTTCTGGGTTTTTCATCTTCTAGATCAGTTTTCCAGAGTTTTTTTTTCTGATCTGATAGTGATTTTTTTTTTGTGGATTTGGATAATTCAAGAGGATCTTCTATTTTTGCAGAGGATCTTGTCTCTTGTGAGGCTTTTGAGATTGAGGAAAAAAATGGGTCAATTTTTAATTTTTGAGATTTTATTTTTATTTATTTATTGTTAAATATCATTTGGAAAGGTATATACATGTGTGTAATTAGGGTTCTAGATTGTACTGTGATTTTGAGGTTTCTGGTTAGTTTTATGTTGTAAGGTAACTGAGGTTGCTCAGCGGGTTATTTGTTTGCTATGATGATGTTATGTTATAAGGTTGTTACTTTTGGACATAGAAATTAAGGGTCTGGATTAGACCCTATATCTGGTTTTAGTATTCTCTGCAACATGGCGGTCGATGGTCCGTGTTTTGTTGAATGGAAAGAACAGTTTGTTTCACAAGAGCGCGGCCATCGTGTGGTTCACTATTACCTAAAGGATTCTGCTGGAGAATCATTCCTTGCAGTTGTTGGCACTGAGAGGAGTGTTAGACACATGTGCTATGTTATTGCTGAGGATTTCCTCGAAATATGCGGAATGGAGGGTTTGTTTCCACCGGGTTTTAAATGGAGATCTAGAAGAGAGGTGGTCGATTGGCTGACGTCGATGTTATCTAAGCAGCATCTGCAGGGCGATAGAAGTGGTAAGTAATGATTCTTGTTTCTAATCTGACCGTCTGTTGCCGTATATAATTTTTTTGGATACAATGATATGTAATATTATAATATAAGAATGATATGGTTTTATGGGATTCGATCAAATGGTATTTGCTTTTGTCAATATGGACGTGGTTCTATAGATTTGTGTGCCATTATTTGTAGTAGTAGAGAAGTGCAGAATATTTGTGTGCCTTAATGTTCAAGTAAATTATATTTTTTTGGATTTCAAATTACAGTAAGGCCTGCACAAAATTTGGATCTAGCTCATGAGATCGAAAATGATAATGTTAAAGAAGTTACTGGTCTTTCTGCACAAATGGTGGATGACAAGGTACATTTCATTTTTGTATCTTTTTCCTTATTCTTACTTTCACTTTTTCATCTACTGTTTCTGATGAATGTTTGTGATGAACACATACTCCTTTTTCTCAGGACATTCCAAAGAGTAACTCCAAATTATTCAATTCAGACATCCTTTGGTCAGGACTTGCGTGGACATGTGGCAAACAACTCAAGCACTATCCGGCTTTTTGTAGGAATGGCATCCAAATAGGGGTAAGAAGCGAGCCTCTGAACTAAAAATTGAGCGACGTGCTCGCCAAATATATTTCCTTTGCGATTCAAACATAATATTCAGATGATTTTTTATCTCACGATTATAATCTTTCTAATATTCAGATTCAGTCCTTTGTTTTTGTCATGGGCAATGGAGAGAAACATTATGTTGCATATTTAGACGATATGTATGAAGACAGAAGGGGGCAGAAAAAGGTTAAAGTAAGGTGGTTTCATCATAATCAGGAAGTCAAGGGTGCAATTCCCGTACGAAATCCTCACCCTCGGGAAGTTTTCATTACATCTTATTCTCAAGTCATCAGCGCAGAGTGTGTTGACGGTCCCGCCGCAGTCTTAACTCGTGAACACTACGAAAAATGCACACCTTATTTTTCACCCTCTTCAATTGACAGAATACATTTGTGCTTTAGGCAATTAAAAGGCAACAAAGTCAAGCCCTTCGACTTAAGTAAACTGCGCGGCTACTATACTCAGCCAGCTCTTTCTTCCTTGCACGTTGATAGTATCCATAACATGGAGGCTCACAGCAACAGCCTCACAGGAGAAGACGAAGATTTGGATGTCGGTGATGATACAAAGCGTGGAGCCAAAAGGAGTAGAAGCGTCGAGGATTCTCCTCCTTCTTGTAACGGTCGACAAGGGGTTAGGAAGTTGATTAGAAGTAATCAAATAATGGGATATCAAACTTTCCAGGTTGTGAATTATGTGAGGCCAGATAGGAGATTGCTTTCTCTAAAACCGATTGAATGTCAACATTGGTATAACCCGATTTACAAGGTTGATGACAAGATAGAGGTGCTCTGTCAAGATAGTGGCATCCGAGGCTGCTGGTTCAGGTGCACAATTTTACAGGTTGCTCGGAAAAAGCTGAAAGTCCTATATGATGATGTTCAGGATGAAGATGGAAGTGGAAATCTTGAGGTATAATCAAACCTTTGAGATATTTTAATGTTCATTTTTTTTTTAGTACTTGGAGAACTATCTTTAAATATGTACGTAAATTCAAAACTTTTGTATTGATCTCCATTATTTAGGAGTGGATCCCTGCTTTTAGGTTGGCCAAGCCTGATAAACTTGGGATGAGACAACCTGGCCGATTGACGATAAGGCCAGCTCCACCTTTTGAAGAACATGAAGTGATTGTTGAGGTTGGAACTTCCGTTGATGCATGGTGGAGTGACGGCTGGTGGGAGGGTGTTGTAACTACAATTGAGAACTGTGGAGATGACAGTGTTCAAGTCTACTTTCCTGGTATGCTGTTTTGATGTTATCTTTTTTTTCTCTCTAAGGCGCTGTTTGGATAAACAACTTAATCAAACAATTATAAGTTTATCATATAAGTACTTTTGTATAAGCCATTTCTATAACAAAAGATAAAATAAGTAAAATCCAAGCAAACTCTAAAATTTTTCATCCTTTTCCAATTTATAACAAACTTTTTTTGTGGTATCAGGTGAAAGCTTGCAAATGACTGTACATAGAAAGGATTTACGAATATCTCGAGATTGGTTCGACGACACATGGATAAGTATAAAGGCAAAGCCTGATATAACCCCAACTATATTAACTTCTGATAGCTTTAACACGAATCTCTCCTTGTCTCCATCCATGGCTAAAGACGAAAACTCTAATGGTTTTGCTAATTCAAGTCATGACATTCCTGCTAGTGAGAAGTCTAACAAACTCGATATTTTTGAAGAGAAACTTGTATGCTGTGATATTGCTGAAGATGAGGTTGGTCTCCTAAATGATAAATCTCCTTCAGAAAAAGATACTCAAGTTGGTGATATCAAAGATAATGGTTGTAATGATGATAAAGACATCAGTGAGAATGATGATAACAAGAATGATTATAGTGACAATAGGGATGTGGAGGTGATTGGGACTTCTGGAGTCGAGTGTAAAGGTGCACAACTAATGGAAGTGGCAGTGTGATCATTTTTCCCCCCGAAATGCATATACATATGACAGATGCTGATTGTAGTTTTAAACTGCAGACCTGACTGTAGTTCTGGCCACAATATAACGGTTTTAAAGGTCTTTGAACGACATCACAACTGCAATTATAGACGCATCGGCTGCATTTGTCTGTATTTTACTGTATTTTAAAGGTTTGCGATGTAACTGCAATGGCAATTGTGATGATTGTAGAGCTTTGCCATCTTGTCATGCTTTGTTGTTATGTGTTTCAGTTTCAGTCTTGGTAGAATGTAATGTATGTATATAGTAGTTGCAACTTGCAAGGGATATGAGGAAGCTAATTGATTTTTAACTTCTTTAGTTGCCTTCATAGATGTACAGTGTTGAGAAAGTATTTATTGTCGAAAGTATTTGTTGTCCTTTCAGTTGGTTGTTGTAGAAAGTAGATTTTGTTAGGTAAGAGACAGATATTAACAGTAATTACACATTTTATATGATGATTAGCACATTTTAAAAGCACTGTCTTTGATTTTTGGGTAAATTATACTCCATCCATAACGAATGTTCTTTAAGATTTTTGTACACAAGTTAAGAAATGTAATATTATTGTTATAAGACATTATATATTTGAGCTTTTAACATGTTCCATTTCTAACAATTGATATCTAAATTGTGATCTCGTTCTTCTGGTAACAAGGAAGCGTTTTATCGGATGAGGATATAGTCGATTTTTGACTATTCCCGAGGATCTCTCCTATCCTAGTTGCTTGGTTGATTATGCGGGGTGGTACATTCCGCAAAATATAAAATATAGAATCTTTTCTATTTCAAAGATTAATATAAAAAAGCTTATGCAACATCATATAAAAGAATAAATAAAAAAATGTTTTTAAACTGATGCAAAAATATTATTTTTAAATTGCATTATTCTTTACACTCAATTTTTATTTATATGCAAAGATGTGAAATTAAATTGGATGCAAAAATTAAAACATAATTTTTCAACAATTAATAGTAAAATTTATGTGACAACGATGGCTATGGTAGTTCTGAGGAAAGTGATAATGACGAGGAGAGCAAAGATGAATCATCCAAAATACATCAGGAAAAGGTTAGCATATTGATTGATCTATATTTGATCAGCTTTGCTGAAACAGGCTAAGGATGTTGAGATGATTGATGCTGATAAATATTCAAAGAAAGTTGTAATTAATTGATACCTGCTTGATTGTAAGTCTTTTCTTCGCCAAATGTTTGATAGATTTACTCAATTTGGAAAAATTATTATGGTTATTAATAAGGGAATATAATATTGTAATGACAGGCACTGCAGTTGTGTTCATGGGATTGGTTACAACACTACTCATGATTTTGGTTTATACAGTGGCAAGCTCTTGATCGGGAGGTTATTTATAAAGTAAGTTTTTTGGTTTCAGGTTTGCAGCAGCATTTCATTACCAACACTGAAAACAATAGTATATTTATTGAGTTTCTTAATTCTTGGAAAACAACAATATATTGATTATACTGATGCTGTTAACTGGGTTCTAAAGTGTTTATTTAATCAGAGATTTTTATATGCAAGACATTGATGATTAATCTGCTAATGTTGATAAAGAGCTCATGTCCTGCAGGGTGGAGCATGTCGTTTGAAGTTGATACAGTTGGAGCAAGAGCTCAAACGTGTAAGACAACAGGTGCGTGT